GTAACTCAACCAAGGAGTAAGTAGTGTCTCGGTGTGACGTGTATCTCAATACGATTCAATCAATAACTATAAATAGGACTAATTCTAATTAGTCGTATTTATTCCGCCCACGGATATCCGAAAATACATATAGCTCAGTTCGGAAAGGATCGAAAAGTGTTCAGACAACCTTAAAACGTCGAGATGTAGTGAAAATATGCTTTTAAATTTCCGGGCTGATTACGATAATTATTCCTTATCACAAAAAGTTGAAAATTGACAAAAATCGATGATTATAGAATGAGTCCATTCTGAAAGCAGAAGCACAATAGATTTGAAAACGCTCTGAATCATTCACCCGGGATAATGAACATTTTGCCACTCCATTATGTCTCCAACGAGGTGGCATAAAAATTCCCAGCAAATGTATCATTCATTCAAACAACATTCTACTGAAACATCTCCCATGTAATTACCAGACTACGATGACTCATTTCCCTCGAGATTAATGAAAGACTAACGATTACATTTCGTTAATTTGTTCATTTCGATTATAGAACCCTATGAATGCATTTTACACTCCGTATCTCCTCCCATTCATTTCATCCCCTCTTTCGCTCCCTCGGATAATACCCGGGTACCATTCGGTGTTGCAGTTTATTTGTCCCATTCACATTCTGTATATATACTTTGTGGCCAATACAAACGTTGTATTTCGTAATCCATGAAATCCCTCTCCATCATCCCACCCTGCTATCGAAATTGCTCTCGTGAGACTTCCACAGGGACTAGCAATTACTTTCTATCTTTGTCTGTTGTATTTATCGAATCGCAAATAGAACCGTCCACGGATAAAGGAAGAAAAGTATCTATCGAACAAAATTTCAACCTCAACAACGTCTAGAGCTTTACACTGCGTTACTGGATTGAGGAAGGGTTTATAGAATAAAAGAACTGTGAATTGCCAGAATAAATTCGAAAAGAGAAAAAGAAAAAATGAAGAATTCTGTGTAGCCCGAATTGTTTAAAATTTTCGCATTGAACCGATGACTCACTGATATTCGCTTTCTTCTAGAGAAGGATTTCCCATCTGATGTAAATAGAGAAAGTCTTCTTCATTTCGACCTATCAAATATCAATTTAACTCAAACGTCCTACAATTTTCTTTGGAAGTCTCGCCGATAACGGCCGTGACAGATGGCAAACACATTCGACAAGTCGCGACGGCTTATCGATATCGTTCGAGATAACGTATCAATAGCGACGGTCTTTTTTTACACTTACACGAAATGTGTGTGTTGAGGTTTATCCAATATTGACGGACATTGTTACGAGTACTTTAAGTTTTTCAACTGTGCGTTTGTATGATCCGGAAGTTTGCTGACTTTCAATGGGATACATTTTTGACACCGGATATCTGATAGGAAAAGCGCGGAATTTAAAAAAGTGAAAAAACAATATGGGGCGCTAGGCATTACGTTACAGTACGTCGTTACGGTACCCGTAACCGTACACAGTACCGTTACACGACGTACTACCCCCACTCCATCGATTGGATGTATATAAGGCCCTGCACAACAGGGACGCGCTCTCTGTTCGTGCTCGGCTCGCCTTGAGCACTAAACTGCCTGGCTGGCTCTCTAAGCGCTCCGCTTAACTTCTCTCAGCTTTTTCGCTAACTAGGGCGTTCTCTGCTCTCTTGGAATCGAGAGCTAAACGCCCATGCAGCTGTCACCACCGCTACCTCTCTTCTCTTCTCCTCAGGATTTGAGAAGACAACAAGGTTGCTCTCTAGTCATACCTCTCCTCTGTACGATCGAGGACTCGAGCGCCTCGCTCTCTAGCTGTACCTCTCCTCCACCGGACCGAGGACTCAGCTAGGCAAGAAGTGTCTGTCTGAGACATAATTGTTTGTTAGCCGTCCAGTCTTCTATTGCCCATGAATCCCAGAATGTATGTCAATTTTAATGCATCTGGCAATTTTTGTTCTAAAATGGTATGAAATTGGTCCAAAAATAAGTTGCCTTCGTAGACAAACCTGCTTCTCCCCTTCCACTGACAACTGCGTTCAGCATGCGCACCTGATAGAATTGTAGTTCCTCGACTACTATTCGGAGGCGCTGATGGACTTTCAAATCACCTCGCTACAGGAGTAGACGATAGTCTATGCAATTATATCGAGTCAGTTATATAGATTATATAGATCAGTTATATAGAGATCAGTGGGTAATAGTTACCGAGATTGTGTAACATTAACCTCATCCTTCTATCAGTGTATGAACAATAAAAAACTGGCTCTCGACAAGGACTGATTCATTTTGGTTGGATATAAAATCAAACACGCAACGTCGTGAACAAACTGATGTTGCATACTCTATAAATATTCACACTCTTAAGGAAGTACATAAAATCGGCTCGCCTACAGATCATCTGACCAAGTCTGAATTTTTTTGAGTGCACTTGTCAAGTTTTTATGTAAAATAAGTTTAAATTGAAACAAATCCTATAAAATAGTGCGTTTTTTTTGTTCAAATTGACTATACATCAAGAAATGGGACATTATTTTATCTAAGGTCTCACAATATAACCAATGGGTTGTCGGTAAAAACCACGCTAGCATCTTATTCTTAGATAAAAGCTATTTATGCATGGTACATTACGAATTTCGAAAAAAATAAAGGAATAAATAGCACAGCGAACTTAATCAGTAATCCAGGAGATTTAATTATTTGAAATTCGCGAATAATCACACTTGTGTGAATTTAATTCATACTTTCAATGATTTTTACAAACTGACCAGTGTTCATAAAATTACAAGTAGGGAAACTCTACACTGAGCACTCCACTTGAAGCCTTTGTCTTCGTCATCCATCTAACCATCAGGGAGTAAAAGCAAAAGATCAAGTGAAACCGATCGGGTGCCCTTTGACGGCCACGTGGATTGATAACCAACAAAGCGCGGTTTCCTTCAAAGAACTTGGAACCTTAATGTATAATATGAGTCCTTGCACCATGGCCAGTACAATAAATCGATTAGAAACACCCGACTGAACGGTAGAGATGAAGAGAAAGGTTCGCCAAGCATCTCCTTCCTAACGCGTTTCAATCTTTCCCCTGTTACCCATGTCCTCCCATCACAGTCAGGACTTCACACAGGAACTCCGTTCAATTCTAAACACATTATTTGAAAGCATATTGCACGTCGTACGATTTCCAGTCTCACACCAATCTTACTAACAATATACATCATATTCGATATTGTTTTAAGGACTTAAAGAAGGTAAGGAAATATAGTCCAATGAAAGTGGATGGCAAACGAGCAAAATAAAAGGATGCGATATAAATTCATCATAATATCTAAGTCTATTCTAAGAACGTTAAAGCGCGAAAGCAAAAAATAATTATCACAATAATCATCAAATGTAGATCGAGATTAATTGGAGTGGATCAGTTGTGCGATGACATGTGTCAGTGCCCTTGTTAACTCAATCGATAATTAGTTGAATTCAAACGAATTAGATGAATATCAGAATAATAATCAACATTCTCCTCCGATGAGCATGAAATCGACTAGATTCACATCTTTACATCGATTAAAAAAGTATTTGCTCATTAAAAATTCAGTAATTTCGCGAGCCCCTCAGTAAGGATGTTAGCAGTTATGTTCTGTAGGCAAGTAAAATTCTGCAATGGTTTCAAATAATTAGAATCAGGCGTAGAACGCAAGTTTGGTAAATGTATAGTACAGTCACGGCGTTGAATTTAGTCGATTCCTGGTTGAAAGAACCATACCAACTCGAGAAAAGATCGATAAAAATAAAAAATAACATTGATAATCGGGTAAACGACTATCGTTGAAAATGTCTAAGTGCATTGAAGGCATTGTTGATCTGTTGTACCGTTCGAAAACCTTGGATGGATCTCTTCGACGTCCGTGGTACCTATAGTGGTGATAAGGTGAGGTGCTATAATGAAGGTGCGATGATTGAGCAATCCATGTTAAGCTGTCTCAATCATTTCTTTCATCTCTTCATCTCTTTCTGTGTCTATTGTCTTTAATTGTAATTCAAACAATATGCGTTGTCTAAGATAAAATTGAAACTAAAGATTACGGTTGACAGATAGTAAATACGGGTCTTAAAAAGACAAAGATTTAACAACAATGTATAACCACGAATACCTTTCCACTTATTCTTCATTTACCGAGTGAAACCACAAACAGTCAATTAAACCCAACCAGAATTGGTGATTATAATACACTAAACTTTTAAACATCATACATATAAATATAGAGGAATAGCATCAACGATGCTCGTATTTTCCCCGGAAAATGCATAGTCAAGTCCTGTGCCTATAAAGGGTCAGCGCTGAAATAAATACAAACAGGCAAATAATAGCAGAAACAACAGAAAAATGAGAAGGATGGAGGAAATCTAAATCCATCAGTCACCAGGCAAAAATAATTGGTACATTGGTATCCCTTGTGGTTTCTGTGTGAAAATGTGCTTTTCTCTCCTCTGTACTGCCTTCCTCACATGTATGTACAGTTGTGGACTTCCGCCAACTGCGGTTGCACTTCATCGTTCCGCAGAACTAGACGAAATTCCGCGTATTCCATGTTCAAATGTGAGGGTGACATTAGTTGGTGAGTTGAAATACCACTGAAATTGTTCAACTTTTCAACTATTAAGTTCGTTGGTTTACTGTCTAGAAGGCCTGCGAATCCCCAACATCCTCAGCTTGCTCAAGCTCCAGTAGATTCAGATGCAGAGATACACATGAACTTGGATACAAAGTGAAATGCGCAATCCGCCCATTCCATGCTTTCGAAACTTAGCATCAGATACAGGGGGAATGATGTACTGACGCTTGTAATGTTAGCCCGCAGCCCAGTGTAATGTATATCAAAGCAATACGAGCAGTACAGAAAACAGAGAGGTGAAAGTAAAATCGTTTGGAAGTAATTATTACATTGGCTGGAATTATACCCTGGAATTATGAGGAAAACATAAGTTTATTACCTTCAATATTGCCACTATTAGCACACGAACTCTCAGATTTCCTTCCTCATGTGTTCACCATTTCATTTTATGAATTGCCAATCTCTGCAACAAAATAAACATTATTCCATTAGTGAAGTTTATTGATTCATCAAATATATTTCGCGAATTAATACCCCTTGATGGCAAAGGATTCAATTTCTTCATAGTTGAAGATAATTATACTCTATTCGATTAAGGAGGGTCATAAGTATTTGAGGACATAGGGTGGGGCCAAACCTCAAAGGTTCCCAGTCAGGATTCTAACTGTTGTTGAATAAAAAATAATGCATGTAAAAATGAGAACACTTCATATAAATGACGAACTTTTTCATTTCTGGTAAAAGTTGGACATTTATAACGATTAAAAAAAACACTTCGAGTAGCCGAAATAGATTAAGAAGCAAAATCATTTCGTCCATTTTTATGGATGCGATGTGGCAACAACGTATTCGTTGGTGTCGATTGCCTTTGGCATTTATCCTGTCGGTGAAAACTTCCTATGATGAGAATGAAATTTTAATAGTGCTAGATTTCAGAGGTTATGTCACCTATCCAACTATCTTTCATGTGAAAAACACTGGATACGAATAATACTAATGAGTAAACTGTAACGGAAAAAGAATGAAGCCACGCTTGTTAGTGCTAGTAATATTTATTAATGAAATTGGGATTGTAATTTTAGTTTCGTCTGTAAATTGCCATTAAATTTTTTGAACCGCTCACGTTACCAAACGCCACACATGTATGCGCTACCGTCGATCTTTGTTGCCAAGTTTCAACGCTATTTCAGCTGATTTCAATCTGAATGCGAAAGGCTTTCTTGATATTCTTGATGGCAACAATTTTCATTGAAAATACTCATTTTATTTGGCCCTGTGTATAAGGTTTTTTTTTTATTAAACAGTTCGCGGAATCGGTATTCATAAACTGGAAAATCGCTATTCAAAAACTGGAATCTTGAAAAATTCTACAGGTTATGAAACTTCCTGACTTTTATGTCATGGTTTATATTTTGAATTAAGCCTCGTATGTAGTGTCTATCGAACATTCGTTGGTTTGAATTTTATCTTGTTAGTGTAAAATCCTTTCCGTCATACCTACCCGGAAAGTTCTATTTTAATCCCCAAATTACGAAAAAAAGGGGCCTATTCCACCCTCAGATTTCTGTTGTTTTTCAGGATCTTCGGGCTGACATATCCCATATTCCTCCCGTCATCAAGAAAAATCGAACTTTTCCGTTTAGTGATGACGAAAAGGAAAATGTGCACCGAGAAAGGAAAACAGGACATTGAAACCCGTGGGTCTACCATACTCGGCTTCACCTTAGGTCGGTAATAGACACGCGGGTTAGCGTAAAATACATTTGACAGTCATTGATAATGGAAAAGCAAAAGGGACTGTCAATGCATGACACACGGCTTATTTTAAAATATTTTTCGGTAAGCTTAGCAGATCGCATGGAATCAATATCTAGATTTGCCACCCTTCAACAATTTCTCCTCATATTTCTTTTTATACCCATTGGAACGAACTCCACGACGTAATATGAAATCCAAATTTGGAAATATTTTAAACTGTCCAGATAAAATTCAAACAAAGGTTATGTTCCATATACGCAAGCCTTGGAGTAATTTTTGCTTGATTCAATAATTTTCAATTTCATTATTGGCTAATACTGCACGCCATCTATTATATTTTAATTCATCCTTTTTATTCGCCTTCAATGATCCACATTGATGTTGGTGAACCAATCATATCTAGAAGCGTTGTGACAAAACTGTATCTCTTATAAATAAATAAGATCAATATTTGGTTTATCTATCTTTCATTTTTTTCAGATACTTGATTTTTGGGCAGGGCAGGTGACACAAAAAAAAAAAACTTTCGAAAAAGCTGTTTGGTGAGATACTCGGATAATGCAGGGTTGAGAGGAAGGGTGCAACGATAAGGTTGAAAAAAAAGTAATACGCAATTTAATTAAAACTTCGTTGATGTACTTTATTCGGCTGAAACCGGGTAAGCTTGTCTATTGTATAAAAGTCTGGTTTTAACTTGGTGAATTGTCTATAATTTGTTGAATGACTTATTTTGGGAATAATTGTTAAATAACTCAAAAATTGAACGCGAATTAACGTGCAAATTAACTGGCTGATGAACTCGGAAAAAACCGTGGAGCATCTATCTTAACACAATGAAAAATTCATTGAAGATTCTCCTACTGCAAATGGGAAAATCTTCTATGAGCAATTTGATACTGATGAAGGATTTGTTCGCCAACTGGTTCAGTATTCTTGGGCTGGTTGATGACCTTGTTGTTGAATTTCTGAATGATGTGAGCGTTGATTTTCTCTTCTATTGTCAACTCGTTTACTGATAACCATCACCGACGTTGCAGCAAATGGACGGTCATCCGTAAGCGGTTGATTTTCTTGTCAACAACCTGCATGAAGGTTCCTCCGATGATGCACTATATTCTCTGAGACATATAGATAAATATTCTCTGTTTCATTGGTGCCTGTGTGTTGATATCTGTTAGGAGGGGTTCTTGTTGATTATCTTTACTTGAATGTCATAAGAATGTAAGATCTACAGCCGAAATTTGGGGAACAGTATGCTAGACCCTGCGTGGGGGGTACTTATATTTATTGGAGATTCTAGCCTAAACGGGATAAATCCCACCAATAGTCTATAGGTATTTAAATATGAGAGGTTATTATTTCAACTATCTCATCTGGACGATTACAATGATTACGACTAACACACGTCAGAGCCCGATTTGGAGCTGACCTTTTGCATACCCAAACGGCCTCTTAAATATATAATTGTTTGTATGTCATTACTTGGTCAACATAATCCAGTTATGCGGGCAAATGTCATGCTGATAATGATCTGTGTCCTTTAGCCAACAATAACGCAATTGACCAAATTCTGGGGCATAACAAGTAATTGGAGTAGACTCATCTAATTTTGATGTGTCTGACGGATTAGCGTGCTCCACCTTCTGTTCCTCGCTGAGTGCCTTCGGGTTGCCTATAATAGCTGATTGGCTTCGATGTCCACTGATGATATGACAGGGCTCTGACTTATTCAGTCCGTGGAGAGCTACCTGTTGCTGTGAGCAGTTGTGCCTCGTCTAGTCCCGACGAAGACCGATGATTTCCGAATAGTGATTTTATTCACTGGCGGTTTCACTGGCCGTGTTTACGAAAAGTTTCAAGTTCCGATTTACGACGTCGAGAGATGAAAACACTGGACACAAAAGATACGGTTGATTGTCTCTGGGTTGAACATCGGAGGTGTCCGTGATCCGACCCATTTGCTGCGGATGCCGCAGTTAATGAACGCATTTTCAACACTACGGCCGCATAATAAAACACATATGGATCGGCTAAGGGCCTCTTGAAAGCAAAAGAATCAACGATAATGAAAAAAACGTTATAACAACGAATATTAGTGACTTCCATACGCGTATCCCAGGTAAAGGACATTCAAATATTAATCCCCAGCAAGGAGAGATGTGACCACCAAATTGGACATCTTCAGCGGGGACAGTCAAAATCATTCGACTCGGGAGTCTTCGTTTGCTGCCTTGTCATCATCACTATTTCCGTGCGACTTTACAGTATCCAGCAGTAGTCTCTTCAGTGTCAAGTCTTGCAGACCAGTTAGTCAGCACTTCTGCATACCAGTGAACATGTGAAATCTTTAAGTTGGAATTCACGAGCTCTGAGTCTGCTCAATACCTTTGCTCTACGCGACCATCGACAAATAGTTCGACAGGCGTCGTTCGATCCTGACCAGTCGTGCTGTAAGTTTATGGTGTTTGCACGGCCATAAACTCCTACGGGAAGATTGAAACATTATTTCATCAGCATTTCCTGAGGCAATAACCATCGGCCATCATCCATCAACGGAACCATCGCTGCAACCCTTTCAGAACTTACCAACCTCAGCTGCAATCGTGAGCCAAGCATAGAACAACACTACACGTCACATTACTAATTTCACAACGTTGTGTAACAAACCACATAACAATTGTATACCTCAGTATTATACAGGCCCCTCCCGTGATAATCTCTTTCGGCCGGATGTTGCTCACCGATTTTATTTACTTACGGTTCAGGCGACCCAAGTGATCACTTATCCCCCGGAATTAGACAATAAAATCCATAAACCGTGCGCAAAAGTTCATACTAGGATGAAAAGAACGGACTGCCCGTCGAGCTCTTGAGCTAGGGATTTTATGTCAAGCTGCACGCGCGTATTGTGAAACCGGACTACTTGAGGGAAATAATCAATTTTCAAGAGCGATGGTACTGGGGGATTATTTAACACCATTCCAATCTCCATCAATATAAGGACTGTTTACTTTTTATGAAAGGATGAATAGCCTGTTGGATGATTCGATCAATGATTCCCCAAGAATCACCTACAAATCGCTTTTTACTTCATTTAGTTATTCAAATGTCATAGTTTATTCATATTTCGTCAATTGTCATAAATTAAAAATTTATAAAAAAAATGTTGTTTATTTTCAGGGACGGAGAACAAAATTGAGAAAAGAACAACACTGCGCTTTTTGCGTTTTCGTTCCTAAGAGCGCATTGACAATTAAATTACCTCAATTTTACAAGGATAGTTGGAAAAATTAACCCGAGAAGAATGACCAAAACACAAGATTTCAATGAATTAATTTAGATAGCAAAGAAAAATTCAAATTTAAATTTAATGAGCGGTTAAAATTTTGTTTTTCGCCGCCATTAAGTCGAAGTAAAAAAATTATATTTTTGCAACTTTCATAATTGACATTGATTAAAAAAAATCGGTTATCGATGATTTTCTCGAATGATATTTAAATTATTAATTTTTGAATGAAATATAATCAAATTTTCCAGATAATCTCCCAATGTTTTTTTATTACATCTCTTATAAAAAAAAGTCATTTTTCCAAATTTTTTAACCGTCGAAATCTATTTAGTCATCACATTTCCAATATTTGTCAATTACAAGTTTTTCGGTTGAGTATGATGTTCCGGGACAACGATCTCATGGAATTGACAAGT